TAAAATCCAAATAAACAATTTTCATATTCCTTATTACTGTCAACTGCCTCAAATGTTCTATTGAAGAACGTCAGTAAGTTTGTCAGGCAGGAACGACCTCTCGTGAATCCATGCTGAGATTCATTTATCAAGTTATGCTCTTCAAGGTGACTTCTGATAATGTCAGCTATAATTGATTCTAATAACTTGCCCACTATAGATGTCAGGCTTATTGGACGGTAATTTGAAGGAGTGGACTTTTCCCCTGATTTGAATATAGGAACCACATTAGCCATCTTCCACAACTCTGGCACAACACTGGTAAGGATGGACGCATTGAATACACACGTTAATGGCTGACTAAGCTCCATCTTGCATTCCTTAAGTACCCTAGAAAACAACTCATCGGGTCCCGGGGACTTATTTTGTTTCAGTTTGTCTATCTGTTTAATAACCATGTCCCTCGTGACAGTAATATTAGTTAACTTAAATTCATCAGGAACCAAATAATTGTTAATTACTGGAATCTCATTTACATCTTCCTGTGTAAAAACTGACAAAAAATAGTCATTAAATAAGGAACACATTTCCAGTTCATTATCCGTCAGCTGTGGCAATATAAACACAAATGCAGTATAATGTGATCCTTTATTGACTACGTTTCGCCCACACAGTGGGCTTTTTCAAGTCACAAACAGAAATACCTGGGGTGGAAGGAACGCGAGTATTTGTAGTCCGGCTGAGGTCAGGTGAAGAATGCTGCATCTGATGACTTGAAAAAGCCCACTGTGTGGGCGAAACGTAGTCAATAAAGGATCACATTATACTGCATTTGTGTTTATATTGCCATTGTGTCGGTATTTTATACCATTTATTTCCATCCGTCAGCTGTCCATTCCCAGATTTCAGAGGTCCTACTTTTTCCTTCACCTTCGTCCTATACACTTGAAAGAACCCCTTTGGATTAGTCTTTGATTCATTAGCAACTCTAATTTCATATATATATATATATATATATATATATATATATATATATATATATATATATATATATATATATATATATATATATATATATATATATATATATATATATATAGAAGTGATCAAGGTCCCAGGACCGAAACGTTTTCTAATAAATATGTTATAGTGTTTGCTTACGTGTCTTTCTAAACCAACTTGTCGGTATTTATTACCAAGGTTTATACCATATATATATATATGCAAAACAACCACTGTGAAAAAGTAGCGAAATTCCAAGCGATTTCGTGACTACTCACATTGTCAAGGAACTATGAAAGTAATACATCAAAGGAAGGCAATTAAATGGCTTAGATCACACCTCACAGTCAACTCCCACAACAAAGAAACACCTGATGCGCGACAGTGCCGGACTCATAAGAAAAGAGGAACACTGCAGTAGGTCAGCTGGTCCAACTAGACAGGTCCTCACGACATCCCACTAACAAATTATTCTACCTATGAAATAAGGTTTATTATTTGTCCAATGTATTATTAAACTCTAACCAAATTTTATAATTAATAAATTAATAATTAATAAAATTTGGTTAGAGTTTAATAATACATTGGACAAATAATAAACCTTATTTCTTGGGTAGAATAATTTGTTAGTGGGATGTCGTGAGGACCTGTCTAGTTGGACCAGCGGACCTACTGCAGTGTTCCTCTTTTCTTATGAGTCCGGCACTGTCGAGCATCAGGTGTTTCTTTGTTGTGGGAGTTGACTGTGAGGTGTGATCTAAGCCCTTTAATTGCCTTACTTTGATGTATTACTTTCATAGTTCCTTGACAATGTGAGTAGTCACGAAAGCGCTTGGAATTTCACTACTCTTTCACAGTGGTTGTTTTGCATATATGTATGTATATATATATATATATATATATATATATATATATAATATATATATATATATATATATATATATATATATGTATATATATATATATATATATATATATATATATATATATATATAAATATATATTATATATATATATATATATATATATATATATATATATATATATATATATATATATATATATATAATATATATATATATATATATATATATATATATATATATATATATATATATATATATATATATATATATATATATTATTTATATATATATATATATGTGTGTGTGTGTGTGTGTGTGTGATGGATGTGTCTATAAGATTCCTTGTAAAATTTGCGATAAAGTTTATTACGGTCAAACTGGTAAAAATCTCGAACTAAGATTAAAACAACATAAATATAGCATTAGAACTGGACAAGATTCCAATGCTCTATTTATCCATGTAAGAGATTTTAACCATCCAATTGATTTTCAAAAAGTTAAGAAAGTAGTATCTAGCAAGTCCATGGTCGACAGGAATATAATTGAATCTTGTTTCATAAAAAGCAGTTTTGACAATAATATGAATATTTCCTTTGGTTTATATAAATTAGATCCATTTATAATTAATAGAATTTGGGAAGAATTTAATAATACACTGGACAAATAATTTTAAAATTTTCTTGGGTAGAATAGCTTGGGGGTGAGTTGTGCAAAGGACCTATCCAAGTTGGTTCGCCGCGCGTCACGTGTTTAACCGTTGTGGGATCTGATAGTGAGGTGCTGGCCAGATATATAGCTTCCTTGGATGCTTCACTTTCATAGTTCCTTGATAATGTGAGTAGTCACGAAAGCGCTTGGAATTTCTCTATTCTTTCAGAGTGGTTGTTTTGCATATTTTGAAATCACCTGTTTACTGTGATCTTATTGCATATATATATATATAATATATATATATATATATATATATATATATATTATATATATATATATATATATATATATATATTATATATATATATATATGCAATAAGATCACAGTAAACAGGTGATTTCAGAATATGCAGAACAACGACTCTGAAAGTATAGAGAAATTCCAAGCGCTTTCGTGACTACTCACATTATCAAGGAACTATGAAAGTAAAGCATCCAAGGAAGCTATATAAGGGGTCTGGCCAACACCTCACTATCAGATCCCACAACGGTTAAACACCTGACGCGTGCCGACCCAACTGGATAGGTCCTTTGCACAACTCACCCACAAACTATTCTACCCAAGAAAATTTAAAAATTATTATTTGTCCAGTGTATTATTAAATTCTTCCCAAATTCTATTAATTATAAATGGATCTAATTTATATAAACCAAAGGAAATATTCATATTATTGTCAAAACTGCTTTTTATGAAACAAGATTCAATTATATTCCTGTCGACCATGGACTTGCTTGATACTACTTTCTCAACTTTTTGAAAATCAATTGGATGGTTAAAATCTCTTACATGAATAAATAGAGCATTGGAATCTTGTCCAGTTCTAATGCTATATTTATGTTGTTTTAATCTTAGTTCGAGATTTTTACCAGTTTGACCGTAATAAACTTTATCGCAAATTTTACAAGGAATCTTATAGACACATCCATCAGCATTTTGGGGGGAATTTTGATAAAGAATTCCCCCCAAGAATTTAATAATACACTGGACAAATAATAATTTTTAAATTTACTTGGGTAGAATAGTTTGTGGGTGAGTTGTGCAAAGGACCTATCCAGTTGGGTCGGCGCGCGTCAGGTGTTTAACTGTTGTGGGATCTGATAGTGAGGTGTTTGCCAGACCCCTTATATAGCTTCCTTGGATGCTTTACTTTCATAGTTCCTTGATAATGTGAGTAGTCACGAAAGCGCTTGGAATTTCTCTATTCTTTCAGAGTGGTTGTTTTGCATGCATATATATATATATATATATATATATATATATATATATATATATATATATATATATATATATATATATATATATATATATATATATATATATATATTGGATTCTGAAGATGTGTGAATAAACAGTGTCACTAAGTCGTTATTATATGTGGTGGAAGTGTCAGATTTAGTTTAATTTGAAAATGATTAACTCACTCGTTCACTACACTTGTGTTTCTTTCCAGGAGAAAGATGAGGTCAGCATTGTCTGTAAACCTGATGAGGCAGGTGCTACACAAGTCTGTCAGAAAGTCTGGAAGGAGTTGGTGCTTTGGTTACTTCTTTGCTCTGCCATATACTGTGGCTGCCACTTGTTCGGGTCTGAAAAAGCTTAGTTATGCAGCTGGTAAGAACATTACTAAGACCACTACTAATTCTGCCACCGATATTGTACTCACGAAGTCATTAAGCCAAAGCCATGATCAGTTTACCAGTTCAGTGTCCATAGGAAGGCAAAGCAGGGAAGTCCCTCGTCCCTTCTCGTCCATCCCTGGGCCCAGACCTCTCCCTCTCATTGGTAACAAATTCCTTTTCACTTCTATAGGTGAGTATAAGATGCTGATTATTTACCGTAACAAAGAAATGTTTGTAAATGTGATTTTTAACACCAGTCATTATACATATACTGTTGAAGCATTTTCCTGGAAGACAGTGTCAAGATGCACTGTGGATAAACTAACCAACAATAGATGAATATTTTTTGCTGCATGTGCGAGACTTAAAATATATTACGATGCTCATTATAGATACAAAAAACTATTTAGATTATCATATTATTTACCCCATTTTGTTGTCTGAAATGCTTCTAGGTTGTTTATGCTTCAGTCAAGTTTAATTTTATTTATACTTTGTACAGGGTTACTTACTCTCTTGGGTATTTCAGGGGGATATCCTTTGGAAAGATTCTTGGACTCAGCCATGAAACTGCATGAGAAGTATGGCCCAATCGTAAGGATCTCGAAGCTCGCTGGAAAGTTGGACATGGTGATGGTGTTCCAACCTGAAGACACCAAAAAAATCTTCCAGGTAATTCTGAGGGGTACTGAATGGTGTAAGTGTAGTAGATAGAACGAGGACTGAACACAAGAAGAACATAAGAAAGGAGGAACATTGTAGCAGGCCTACTGGCTGAAAATTAGATATATGTGCAACGCTTGAGTATCTTGAGGAAACGTTTCGCCACACAGTGGCTTCATCAGTCCTATACAAAGAAGAATGGTGAAGATGAAAGGAAGTTTGAGGTAATCAGTCTCTCAGCATGGAGTCGATGTAATCAGTCCACCAGTCTTGAAAAGAATACAACATATGTACGTATGTATAATGTTCGCCAAGACCATAGTCCTGGCACGGGTCTCAATTTTGTGATGACCCGTCTCTGGCTCCCGAGGGAGAAAGATTTCTACAATGATGCGACATATGCTGCTCAAGCACTCTTCTGGTCAGCTCATCTGGTGCATCTCATAAGCGACAACACTGTATGTGCTCCTAACTGTGGACACTAGCGAGGAGGAGGATATGTCGTTATCACGGGCAACAGCTTGTCTGGTTCGTTGACTCCATGGTACAGTAGTGTGGCCTCAGTCATCTCTGGACTCTCTTCGGGAGGGAATATCAGTACTAGTTGCCTGCGGAGTGTCTCATTAACTTCGCACTCCAGAAGATAGTGTGTTAGGGGGCGCTGGACAATTTGCTGGCAGTACTGGAACATCTCCTCATCCTTATCTACGATCATCTTGGCTGTGGGAAAGCCCAAACGAAGCCGATGGATGGCGGTACACTGCTCGGTACCACTGTTGAGATGGGGTATCACCTAAGACCTCCCCCATAAGTTTCATTGCTCTGGCAGCCACCAGTTTGGTCTGTCGTAGGCTCATGGGGACAGTAATCCCAACATGTGGATACACTGTGGCTGCCTTGGCTGCATCATCTGCCGCCTCATTTCCCCGGATGCCAGCATGGCTGGGGATCCAGTTCAATGTCGATCTGTTACCCTGAACTTCTAAGGCTGTCATTATGCTCAGGATCGATGTGATAAGGTGAATATTGTCCTGTGGTTGAGGATGGGAGAGGGCATTGATTGAAGAGGTGGAGTCAACATGTATGACAGGACGGAGTCGATGTCGTGTGGCATGTGACAATGCCTGCTGAATCGCCACCAGCTCAGCTTGAAGGATCGTGCAGTGGTCAGGGAGTCGCCAGCCTTATGTGTGACCATTGTGGTAGAGTCCAGCTGCTGCTCTCTTTCTGTCAGGGTCGACAGAACCATCTGTGAAATACACTGCACATGTGCGTTCCTTTCCCAGTGCCATGCTTGTCTCAGCATGATTGCTGAGGGTGTCTTGACTGCAGAGACGCTTAGAGATAGGAAGTTGCATGACGCAAACATCGGTCGGATCTGGGCGCCAGGGAGGTGGTGGATGATACCCAGCAACAGGAAGTTCACAATTCTTCTCAAAGAGTAGTTGTATAGGCAGCAGCTTCCGCCCAGCAGCACAAAACGAAACGAATTCAGGAGTAATCAGTGAAGAGAGTTGGATCTTGTGTCATGGTTGTTAATATCAGTCTTCTTAGTGGGGTACCTTGCTGCCGGTGCAGAATCGTGGCTACTTTGCAGGCGTTTATGTATCTTACTCTGTCAGCCAGGGAAGGAAGCCGGGCCTCAGATCTGAGACATACTGTGTTGGTCCAGATGGGGGCCACAAGCATAGTTCTTATCGCCTGGTTTTGTATGACCTCCACCCTTCGCCTGCTCTGCGGGAAGAGATGAGCTAACGCTGGTCCACCGTAGTCAATGAGCGAGCGAATAGCTTGTATATAGTACAAGCGAAGTACATCTTTGCTTGCCCCTGCACGGTGCCTCGTCATGGCTCTCATGGCGTTGAGTCTGAGTAGAGCACGTGACCTGACATACTCGGCCTGTTTCTGAAAGGTCAGCTTTTTATCAATGTAGATGCCCAAGTATAGGCAGGAGCCTGTCCACTCAAGTTCTATATCATGAATACATATTCTATTCACAGGATCTGGTCCCTTGAACATCATTACAAGAGATTTCTCGGCCAAGATCACAATAGAGAGGAAAAGTAATGTGAGAGACCTGGGAGTGGTAATGTCAGAGGATCTCACCTTCAAGGATCACAACAATGCCACTATCACATCTGCTAGGAAACTGATAGGATGGATAATGAGAACATTCAAGACAAGAGATGCTAAGCCAATGATGGTCCTTTTTAAATCACTTATTCTTTCTAGGCTGGAATACTGCTGTACATTAACATCCCCATTCAAGGCAGGTGAAATTGCAGAGCTAGAGAATGTACAGAGAACCTTTACTGAACTTATAAGTTCCATCAAACACCTTAACTACTGGGGGCGCCTGGAAGCACTTGACTTGTACTCACTAGAGCGCAGGCGAGAGAGATATATCATAATCTACACCTGGAAGATTCTGGAGGGACTGGTCTCTAATATGCACACAGAAATCACTCCATACTTGGTAGGCGATGCAACATACCCCCAGTGAAAAGTAGGGGCGTCACTGGTACACTAAGAGAAAACACAATAAGTGTCCGGGGCCCAAGACTGTTCAACAGCCTCCCACCAGCAATAAGGGTCATTATGGGAAGACCCCTGGTTATCTTCAAGAGGGAGCTGGACAGATACCTAAAGACGGTGCCGGATCAGCCGGGCTGTGGTTCGTACGTTGGATTACGTGCGGCCAGCAGTAACAGCCTCGTTGATCAGGCCCTCATCCACCGGGAGGCCTGGTCGTGGACCGAGCCGCGGGGACGTTGATCCCCGGAATTCCCTCCAGGTAGACTCCAGGTAGGCCTAGTTCCTTGCAAGACTGCGTAATTAGGTCCAAAGCTCTCTGGGCCTGTCGCTCCAAATTGCCTTTCCCATTCACTACGAGTGCAAGATCATCAGCATAGCTGAGGAGATGCATACCACTATGAAAGGGAAGGCTCACAAGTTCCTGCATAAGGACGTTAAACAGGGTAGGACTGAGCACAACTCGTTGTGGAGTGCCGTTTTCCAGGGTTTTGAAGGAAGAGTAGTGTCCCTGAAAGCTGACACAGGCCTGCCTGTCCCTAAGGTAGGACTCTATCCAGGCCAGGAGGCGTCCTTTGATCCCCTTCCGAGCTAGTATTGCTAGAATTGCTGTGGGGCTCGCTAGCTCAAATGCCTTCTCAAGGTCAAGGTAGATGACGATACTAGGTTTTTTGTTACTTTCAGCAATCTGGCTTAGTAGGGTGGTTATGCACTCTGCTGTACCCATTCCTTTGGTGAAGTCAATTATGTGATGATGAGGGGGTCCAAGTTTCCATAGGAGGCTGTTTAGCACCATCCTCTCAGCAGTCTTGGCTAAACAGCTGGTCAGCAATATGGGTCTCATACTGCCTGGGTCCTTGGGCTTTGGAACTGGTACGATGGTAGCCTTGTTCCAAGCTGCTGGGAGTGTCTCGGCCCTCCACGACTTGTTTATGACGTCTAGTATGGCCTCCCATCCACTCTGCCCAGCCCGTACAATCATGGAGTACGTAACACCATCGATGCCCGGGGCAGTGTCACCTGTGTTCTTAATGGCACGTCTGAGTTCCAAGTCCGTGAGGTCTTCATCAGTCACATCTTACGACTCACATGCAGCTTGTATTGTTAACTGGCGTTGTGGCAGAAGATCCGTCTGTATATTCCGGATGTCCTGTAGGAGCTGAGGGGAGGCTCCCCTGGAAGTGTAAAGCTCCACTAGTTTCTCAGCTTCCTGGGATGGGTTCGGGTGTGCTGGTGGCCTCGGCTTGCTCTTGCCAGTTGCTATGTTGAGCTTGCCCCATATCTCAGATAAGGTGGTGTGATGCCCGAATGTTGAGCACCACTCCATCCATTTCTCAGTTTTTACTCTGAGAGAGACTCTTCGGGCATTCTGCACAATGGCTCTCAAAGTATTCCTGTTCTCTGCCGTAGAGTTACGCCTGTATAGCTTCCTAAAAGAGTTGATGCGGTGGTTCTGCTCCCGCACCTCGTCGTTGTAGAACCACCGGTCTCTTTTGTGAGTGGGTCCTGCGGGCTTCTTTGCAATTGCGCACTCTGCTGCTTGGATGAGAACAGTGATTAGCTCCTGTTCAGCCATATCACGGTCTTCAGATAGAGTGTATGTGGACCACCAGTCATGGAGATAATCCTGGAACACCTTCAAGTTGGCCCTCTTTACGTCCCATCTAGGAGGCAGCACAACTGTGGGAGGCCTGTTGATGTTGAAGGTGGTGATCACTGCAAAGTGGTCACTGAGAAGGTGAGGATGAGTTTCCCATGTGGCTCCTGCAGCGAGTTGTCTTGTCCCGAAGGTAAGGTCGAGGCAGCCACCCAACAGGTGTGTAGGGTCTCCATTGTTTAGCAACTTTACCTCTGGAATATCGTGTAGGAGCATTGCTATGTGTCTGCCAGCAGCATTGGTTGCTGAGTGAGAGTGCAGCATTGGGTGATGTGCATTGAAATCTCCACCCACAATAATACACTCAGTGCGTGCTAGCGCGAAGAGCTCTGCAATGTCGAGGGTGTGTCTTGGGGTCTTGTAGATGTTATAGATGGTAATGGGCGCCACAGGCATGTGTGCAAGGATGGCCTGTACCTCGACATCTTCCCCACAGTCCACAGGGTTGGCTATAACCTCGTGAGGTATTGTATCGGATACGAATACAGCTGTGCCTCTGCAGTGAACGCCCGCGTCCATGTGCCGAAAATACCCAACAAAATCGGGTAGTCTTGGGCACATAGTCTGGACAGTCAAAGTTTCTTGTAGCAAGACGATGTCAGCCCAATCCCGAATTACTGCCTACAGCAAGAGGTGCTGTTTGCCCCTAAGGCCCTGAATGTTCCATTGTAGGACCTTGAGGGTGTGATTTGGTACGGAAGTTATTCATTCGCTGTTATTTCCTGAGCTGGGGACTGAGCCCTGCCCGCTCTGAGAACCTGCAAATTCAGGGCGTTCACCGTCTCCTCCTCGGTCAGTAAGCACACTCTCAGGAGCGTAC